GGAATGATGCACCCACAAATCTGAGGATACAAACAGCCAGTAGGAGCTGGAAGAGGCAAAAGACAAAGTCTCTTCTAGAGCTTTGGAGGGAGCACAGCCCTACCAACACCTTGACTTTGGACATCTGGCCTCCAGAGATGTGAGAGAATAAATCCCTGCTGTTGTAAGCCACCAAGTTTGTGACAATTTGTTTTGGCAGCCCCAGAAAATGAATAGACATTTTTTTCTTGCATTAAGGGAAAAGGGGGCTAAATTAAAACAAACAAATAAATTAGAGAAGCCAATAGGATTTAAATAAGAAGTTTCATTAATTAATCACTTACCACATGCCACGTACCTGTTCCAGTTAGAAGGTGACAGAAATTTGAACCCAGCAAGACGAACCTCAGAGCTGGTGCCTTTAACCAGCTACCTTGTGCTTTTAGGAAAGAGTAGAGCTGTATTTTTACAGAAAGGGTCATGGGAAGGGAATGAGAAAAGTTAGGAAAATTTGGAGGAATTTTAGGGACCTTGAGAAATTTGGCAAATATTTAAATTGCTCTCCAGTTATTTTTTTTTCTAATTTTGATGCAAGCCTGTGCTGAGACTTGCACATAGGGTACCTGTGTTTTATACGGATTACTCTTTCACCCGGTTGCCATTCATTCATTAAGCTCCATTTGGCTTATGTGCCACCGTCTGTGCTCAGTGCTAGGCAGACCTACAGATGAATAAGAGCCAGACCCTGAAAAAAAAAAAAGAGCCAGACCCTGCCTTGGGGGGCTCAGCTTGTCCTGGTCCAGCAGGCAGAGATCCCTGAGTTTGGACATCATTCTGTGGGCAGTGGGGTTTGTATGCAGGGAGGGCAAAGCTGAGAGAGCAGGAACTGGCTCTGTGTTCCCAGGCTGCTGAGCCTTCTGGATCTCTGAACCCCAAGCCCCAAACTTTGGTGGGCTGTTGGCTAAGGGGATAAAGTGATCCTTACTATCTACTGAGGATTATAGAGCTACCTCATTCAGGCAGCTCAATCAGATTTTAAAAATGAAAATGTTGTCTGGGGCACCTGGGCGGCTCAGTCAGTTAAGAGTCTGCCTTCAGCTCACATCATGATCCCAGGGTCCTGGGTCCTGGGTCCTGGGATCGAGTTCCGAGTCAGGCTCCCTGCTCAGGGAGGAGTCTGCTTCTCCCTCTCCTTCTGCCCCTCCTCTTTTCCCCACTTGTGTGTTCTCCTTCTTTCCCTCTTTATTTCTCAAATAAGTAAATAAAACCTTTTTAAAAATGTTTTTGGGGCACCTGGGGGGCTCAGTAGTTGAGTGTCTGCCTTCAGCTCAGGTCGTGATCCTGGGGTCCTGGGATCAAGTCCCACATTGGGCTTCCTGCGGGGAACTTGCTTCTCCCTCTGCCTATGTCTCTGCCTCTCTCTGTGTGTCCCTCATGAATAAATAAGTAAAATCATAAAGAAATGAATGAATGAATGAATGAATAAATAAATAAATGTTTTCTTTAGGGTTCAGGTTTTTTTTTGTTTATTTTTGCAGGGGAGTGGGTGTCAAGGGAATGGAAAGCGGGGTGTAGCATGGGTTAATGGACTTTCTTTGGTGGGCCCTAGTGAACGCAGTTGTCTGGTTAGTCCTGGCTTTCAGAAAATATTTGCCTTGACAGTATGGGCAAAACCAGATTCTCTGCCGTTCTAAGACTCTGGGGGAGTCATCTCTGATGTGGCAGGGGCAGCTCTATAGTCAGTGCAGCTCCTGGGAGGAACACACATGCCTAAGGTGAGAAATGACCTGTGAAGACCCTTGGAGAGGCATTAAATTGGAGGCTGGTGTGTTTTCTCCATCAGTCCAGCGCAGCCAGGTTGCGGGGATGTAGGGGAAGGTTGTCTGATTGTTCAGTTGAGCACCAGATGAAGAAATTGGCCAGCTATTTGAGGCCATGTTGCATGAAAACAGTAGATATTTAAGCACTGGACTCCTGCTGGGGGCAGAGAGGCGCTCAGGAGCCGAGGCTTACTGAACGGGGCCCAGTTCCACGCCGTGAGAAGAATGGCAGGTGAAAGCTACCTGGCGCTTAAGTTCATTTATCCCGTCTTTTCTCTCATTATTATGTTATTGTTATTTTTACTATTCTGCTGAGTGCCTATAGTTGAATTTGCATAACATAATTGCATACATTAGAGAACTACACTCTAATGGAAATTTTTCTTGAAACCACTTGCTTTTTGATATGAGAGTTCCACCCTCCTGGCTGCCGAAACCGGGCTTTAGGGAAATCAGAGCATTTTCGTCTCTGATCCTTTCTGAGAATAAAACTTGGCCAGCTGAACTGTCCGTGTGGCTCTGCTGAGGGATTGCATCTTCTGGCCAAGTTGGGTCTTGTCCACAGTGATCCGGAAGCCAATTTTCTGAATAAATCGCAAAATTGTTCCTGAGCTGGTGTATTTACTCAAAACTCATCTTCTATGGCTCTGAATGCATAACAGTTGTGGATAGATTTTGTATCTTACAGTATTTTATGTAGTCTAGTACTTCCCAGAGTGTGCTCCGGGGAACACCAGGGTAGAAGCATGTTCTGTGGAAAAATCGTTTCCTGGACTGAACAGGCTTGGAGACCACCAGCTCTTGGATCTGCATCCACACTCCACTGAGTCTAAAGTAAACACATCTGGGTAGCTTGGTTTAACGTACACTGGCCAAACCTGGTCATCCATGGAATCATCTCTTTGGTGCACTTTGGGAACCAGAAACATAAAGAAGCCTTAGGAAGGAGCCAGGGTGAGGCCATATCCATACCAGGTCTCTCAGGCCCTGGGGTAAAGCTGAGCTGGAAGGTCCTGGAATGTTTTAAGCTGATCTGAACTGGACTGGCCTGATAAAGACAGGAAATTTGCCAGAAAGCTGTAGGCTCTGCCATGAGGCCACTAAGGGCCAGGAAAGGAAGATTTGTAAGAATATAGGGCTGGTTACTGTCCTTGGAGGAAAATTCAACCCTTTCATGTTTGTACCCACTGGGCTCAATAAACCTGTCACGAAGACTATCAGGCACATCTTCTGTTTTGCTTTTATTTTTTTATTTTTTAAAGATTTTATTTATTTATTCATGAGAGATACAGAGAGAGAGAGAGAGAGGCAAGACACAAGCAGAGGGAGAAGCAGGCTCCATGCAGGGAGCCCAACTTGAGACCCCGGGAATCCAGGATCACGCCCTTGACCAAGGCAGGCGCTAAACCGCTGAGCCACCCAGGGATCCCCTTCTGTTTTGTTTTTAAGATTTTTATTTATTTATTTGAAAGAGAAAGCATGCACAAGCCAGGGGGAGGGGCAGAAGGAGAAGCAGACTCCCTGATGAGCAGGGAGCCCCACATGGGGCTTAATCCCAGGACCCTGAGCTGAAGGCAGATGCTTAATCGACTGAGCCACCCAGGTGCCCCATCAGGCACATCTTCTATGTGAAGATCTTGCTAGTGGTCCGAATAGAGTTTCCCCCCTAAATCCATGTCTACTCGGGGTCTCGGCATATGACTTTGTTAGGAAATAGCGTCTTTGCAGGGATAAGTAAGGTCAGGATTCAGGTGATCACCCTGGATTAGGGTGGGCCCAATGACAAAGTGTTCTTTGGTCGAAAGGGACACACAGGGACACACAGTGAGAGGCTGCGTGAACACAGGCAGAGATTAGAGCAAAGCAGCCACAAGTCAAGGAACACCTGCTGCCACCAGAGCTGGAGGAGGCAGGAAAGAGTCCTCCACCAAAAGGAGGGAGAGTGGCCCTGCTGACACCTTCACTTCGGGCTGCTGGGCTCCAGATCTGTGGGAGGACACATTTGTTCAGCCACCAGTTTGGGTCGATATGTCACGGCAGCCCCAGGAAACTGATACAACCGCAATGCTAGTGTCACCTTTGCTTGGGACGGGATTCCCCATCCAGATTGCCACTGTAGATCATGCACATCTCTGACAATGAAAGTATAAAGGGTGCATGTGAACTTGCAAGGTGCTAAGTTTTGCACCTGAGGTGGATAATTAGTAAGAAGCAGCGTGCCGGCGTCAAGAGCTCAGACACAGGGTGGTACAGGGGAGAGAGTGCAGAGCAAAGGGGCGGTTTGGGGAACACTGGGGGATGACAGGGTATAGGGAGGGCAGGAAAGCCCATTAACCAAGGCAGATGAGTCACCTAGAAGTCCTAGGGCAGGCTCTCAGGGAGCCTGGCCTTGGCAGACCTGAGAAGGACCTGCTCCCTAAAGAGACAGCAGCCAGGAGGAATCGAACGGGGAGGGAACCCCCAGGCCAGGTTTGCTGTGATTTGCCAGGTGGAGGGCCCAGGCACTGATTTTACAGTTAATCCCTTCTCCCTGGAGACAGCCCTGACATTCCAGTGGACTCCTGGTCACTTCTCACATTGTCCTTTAACTTTCCCAGATCTCCAGTCTTTAGTTGTGTGACCTTCAACTACTGGCACCATCTCTCTCTGCCTATTTTCTGACCTACAAGATGGAGAGGTGGGCTGTAAATCATATTTATCTCATAGACCATCGTAGGCACTATGTGTGGTAACGCAGGCCTAGCTCCTGGCACGGAGCAAACACTTGCTTTGTTAGCTACCAGTACTGTTACTGCCACCGTGTTTAGAACCGTGTTCCTACCTACCAGCTTTCACGTATTGAGCACCTCCTGTGTACCTGGGGGTGCTGAGCAATGTAGCCATGATTTTAATTCTCCTGGCAACTGCAGGAGGAAGCACTTGTGAGTGTCACCTTTTTACCAAAGAAGAAACTAAGGCTGGGAGAGGACAGGAACATTGACCTGGAATCACACAGATGGCGAAGCCAGGTGTCAAGCTCATGGCCCCGACCACATGCAGTATCCAGTCACACTTATTATGGCTCTATCTGGAAGTGTGCGGGATGATTGTCTGTGCTATGCAGGTGTAATTTGTACGCCTAATACTTATGTATGTATTTGGCTGGTCTATTAGAGAAATAGAGATGTCCCTTTTACAGTAATTTCCTTTTAAGCTCAGTGAGTCCTCACTTTGGCAGGACACAGATGAAAATCGGAAGGCTACAAAGATTAGCATGGCCCCTGCCCAAGGAGAACACCTAAATTTGTGAAGCCTTCCAGATTTTCATATCTTATGTCACTTATATCTCAATAAAATAAATAAACAATCTACATTTATTTATCAGCACCATTCACAACAGCCAAAAGGTAGAAACAGCTCAAATGCCCATCAACAGATGAACTGATAAACGAAATGTGGTCTATCCATAGACGAGACTGTTATCCATCTATAAATAGCAACGAAGTACTGATGTGCGGGGAAAATATGATGCTGAGTGAAGGAAGCCAGTCACAAAAGGCCACACGCTGTATGATTCTGTTTACGTGAAATGCCCAGAATGGGCAGACCCATAGAGATAGAAAGCAGATTAGTGGTCATCAGGGCCTGCAGTGGTGAGAATGGACACCAACCTCTTCACGGGCATGGGGTTTTACTTTAGGGGGACGGAAGTGTTCAGACTAGCCAGGGGTGGTGGTCTTACAACACCGCAAAGGTACTAGACGCCACTGGATTGTTCTCTGCAAAATGGTTACTTTTATATTGTGTAATTTTCACTTTATTTTTTTAAAATATTTTATTTATTCATTTATGAGAGACCCAGAGAGGGAGAGACACAGGCAGAGGAAGAAGCAGGCTCCATGCAGGGAGCCCGACGTGGGACTCGATCCCAGGTCTCCAGGATCACAGCCTGAGCCAAAGGCAGATGCTTAACCGCTCAGCCACCCAGGCGTCCCTCATTTGCACTTTAATAATTAAACTTGGGGCCCCTGGGTGGCTCAGTGGTTGAGCGCCTGCCTTTGGCTCAGGGCGTGATCCCAGGGTCTCAGGATCGAGTCCCACATCCGGCTCCTGGCATGGAGCCTGCTTCTCCCTCTGTATGTGTCTCTGCCTCTGTGTCTCTCATGAATAAATAAATAAAATCTTTTACAAAATAATGAAAAAATTAAGTTTAGAGAAGGAAATTAGCTTACTTAGAGAAGGCTGTGAAGCACATCATAACACAGGGGGCTTGCAGATGCGGGGGAAATGGTGCAGGCGGTACTTAGAGGCGCTGCATTATGCCATGAGGAGCACAAGGCATCTCCTCGAGGGCTGAGTCTGGCAGGGTCTTGCCCTCCTTTTGTCCCCCCCCCAACCACCCCCGCAGCCGGCTCAGTGCTTAAGAAATACTTGTTGAGTTCAGCTCAGCCCGGCTCAGCCTGGCTTAGTTAATTGAGTTAAGGCGAGCTGCGTAGTACTGAATGCACCAGCTGGCTGGCCTGGAGGAGATCCAAGCTGAAGATGTTACGAATCACGCTAATTCAATAAGCTGCTGCGAGGTAGTCTAAGTAATGAGACTGCGCGCCTGCCCGTACCTGACTCACCCGTGTTCCGCTGGCACCTTATGAGCCGAGCCCACTCGTAATATAATAGTTCTTTCCTTGGGATCCCCTGTGTGTGTTTGCTGGGGACGCCGGGCAGGGAATGTGGGAGAGAAGTAAAAAGGAAAACACAGCGCTCCTCAGACTCAGCTGGAAGCCCCCTGGGTGGTGGAAGGAAGGGTCCCAGTGCAAGAAGCAGAGAACTTTCTGTCTGCCTGTCTGTCTGTCTGCCTGGGTGCAGGTGCCGTGACCACACCCACATGTAGACAAGTCTACATCTTCCTTGTCCGAAGCACTCCCCGTGCGTCTAGTGTAGCAATATCACCAAAAGCTCATGCGCTGGACTCTGATTGCCTGAGTCTGAAGCCGACTGAGGATCTTAAAGGAATGAATTCATACGTCTGCACCTCTCTCTCCTCACCTGTAAAGTGAGGGCAATGATTGTACCTACTGTACAGGGTGACGGGAGGATTTAATGAAGTGATACCCGTCGGGCACTTAGCACACAGCTCCGAGGACAGCCTAAGCGCTCAGGAAGGTCAGCTGTGAGGATTTGCAGTGGCCAGTGCTACGGAAAGGTGTGTTTGAAACACATGGCTCGGCTGGGGTGCGGAGACCAGCTCTGCAGACAGGAGAGCACAGAGCAGAACAGTTAGTTGTTTGTAAACATCCTAAACAGAAGCACATGGCTCACTCCTGGAGGTTCTTCTGGAAGGGTGATGTAAGCTCCCAGAGCGAGGAGGGAGTAGTAGGAATCTGGCTGTTGTTCTCCCTTCTGGCAGGATCCTACCTACAAAGTGAGTCCCCAGTGGCAGCCCACACCCAGAGACTAGAAAAAAAAAGTTGCAGAAACTTCCCTCTTTCTGCTCCATTCCGCGAAACTGCTCCATTAGCGTGACGATCTGCGTCCTTGGCTAATAAATCAGGCCTGTGTGGCAGGGGTGCGTGCGGTGGTCTCAGCCCATGGGTCTCTAACTATAGGGTCACCTACAGGGTTACAGGTGGAAAAGGTGGGAGATGGGCATCCAGAGATTCACCGAGCACTGTGCTGCTGCATGGTCTTGGTTAAGTTCCTACCTCCTTCTGAGCTCTTGTTTCTCATTTAGGAATGAGTGAGAGGGCAAGGGTTGCAGAAAAATCAGTGATCTCAAGCCTTAAAAATATGATGAGCTATTTCTTTAAATGAAAGCGTACAAGGGAGCTGAATGTACAAATAGACACAAGAATTGCTTCACAAAGGAGGGTCCTATAGGCACAGCCTCCCGTCACCCACCCTCCTTGCTCCCCCCATGTCTTCCTCCCTCCCCCAGCTCCCAAGGTGCACATTCTGAAACCTGCTGACTAGAATGAATTCATGTGGCAGGACAGGGCTAGAGTCCCAGGGTGGGCGAGGGCATGAGGGGGTCCCTGAAGTGGTGTCCAGAGCACGGAGAAGGTAGAAGGCAGATCTGCATGCACGTCCACCTGCCCCTTACTGGCAGTGTGACATGGGAGTACAGGATATCAGGTCTTTCTGCCCTTTATTCCTCCTTCTGGCAAGAGCACCCTGGTGTTCTTTGGGGACCCACGAACTCTTACTCCATGCATGTGGTTTGACTATGCTTTGGCGATGGGCACATGACTGAGGCCTGGGTAATCAGATTATTCTGTCCCCCTTGCAATAGTCATTGGTTTAGTAACAGGCAGCTGAACCTATCAGACCCCACCACACCTAACCTTGAGACTTTTACAGGCAACCAGAAGAAAGCTTGGATTTGACTTCAGGAAAAAGTCAGAATGGTGGAGAGAGGCCATCTAAAAATGAAACCAATACAGGGAAAAGCAGAGCCAAAGAGATGAAGAGAGGCAAATTCCTGAAGATTTCATTGAAGGCCTAGATCCCGCCATGCCTGAAGCTAAGCTAAGACAGTCCTTGCTCCTCAGTTAAAGAAACCAATACATTTTTGGTTTGGCGAAAGGCCATTTAAGATAGGAACTTGTCGTTTTGCAGCTGAAACCTCATGACCAATACACACAGGCCAGTTATTTCTCCCGTAAGTTTCAGTTTTCTCATCTAGTAAGTGTCTCTAAAAAGCTATAAACCTAAACTTTAAGTGGCTCTATAAACACATATATCACAGCAGCCACAAGACATGAGCGATAGCGGGCAGTCCTGAATATGTCTCAGTTCTAAGAAAAAGCAAAGCACGTCCACTTTATTCTCTCAGGGAGGGTCGGGGTCGGGGAGAGCAACAGATAAATAGACGTCCGTTACAAATAGGAACAGAGAAAGCAGGGGAAAGTCACATACCAATCGGAAAATGCCATGGGGAGGGCATGAGGCCCTGATTTGGGATTTTTCAATTAGATGGGAGTGGTCAGCAGAGGGCTAAGTTTCCTGCAGTTCTGGAAGCAGGGCTGAGTGTGAGGGAAACCCCCAGCCATATAAGCCCCCAGGCTCTTGGGGCTAGGGAAATTCTAGGGGAACAGTTGAGATGAATTTATCTTGGAGCAGAAAGTCCAGAAGACAGAGCTCTAGAGCTGCGGGTACACTCCTGACAGTCCATTGCAGTTCACAGCCAACTTCGCACACGTGGAATGTTCCCTGGACAGACAGGCTGGCCTTTTGTGGCTCAGGAGAGCTGTTCCTGGGGAATGCCATCTCAGAATGCCCTTGTGGTCTGCTCAAGAACCCTTGAAATCGAAAGCCCGGAGCTCCCCTGTCACAGCCACGGCACATAAATACCACCAGGGGGGATTTCCCACGGGATTTTTTGCAACCACTCAAATGTTCCATTTCCCATTGTTTGCCAGCCCCTCTTGGAGACTCAACTGTCAAAGCAGCAGCAAACACAGGCTGCTTTTCCCCCAGGATCCCATAGTGCTCGCTCTTGCTTCCCTTCCGCGTAGGGAAGCTGGTGTTGGTCGGATATTAGCAGCTCGGCCAGGGAATACGGTCTGTTAGTCAACTAGTGAAGCAAGTCAGCAAAGGGAATACCCGGCTCTACCCTGCCCACCCTGCAGAGCTCGGGCCATCCCCCTGGTTATTATTATTATAATCGTGGCGACTAATAATTATATTTATAGAAAGAAATCCCTCCCACAAATCCAAGGCACTTGACCAAAATGCATGATGCAGCTGTTAATTTTTCACTCTTTAAATATGGACCCACAACAATTTTTCCCTCTGACTCAGCGTGTTTTAATGGAATTCTAAGTTGTATTCCATACATCCGTGTGTAGAAGAGATCATCTGTATTGACTGACGGCAAAGCATCTGTTTTAGACAGGCACCTTGCTAGGCATTCTGGGGACTCGAATACGAATGAGGTGTAGCTGCATGTCTGTAAGGAGCCCATCGTTTAGGGAGGCACGGAGATTTCAAGGCAACATGAAATGTGATGATGATGGGGAGTCTGTCCAGGGGGTGCTGGTCTGAGGGGTAAGTAGGAGTAGCCAGGGCAGCCCGGGTGGCTCAGTGGTTCAGCGCCACCTTTGGTCCAGGGCCTGATTCTGGAGACCCGGGATCGAGTCCCACATCGGCTCCCTGCGTGGAGCCTGCTTCTCCCTCTGCCTGTGTCTCTGCTTCTCTCTCTCTCTGTGTCTCTCATGAAAAAATAAATAAAATCTTAAAAAAAAAAAAGAATAGGAGTAGCCAGAAGGATGTACACGTGCTTTGTCACCAGTTGGCACCGTCTGAATACATGTAGTAGGCATCGCCCTGG